TGAAAGAACCGTGCATATATTCTAAATTATTGCTTACTCAATTTGATTGGAACAATTCTCACAGGTTGAGATTTTTCCAAGGTAATCCCATACTCATCTTCCTTATTCAAATCATCAACATTCAATCCATCTTCAAGTCTCCAATCAAAGCAATTAACCAAAGATCCCAACATCAAAGGCAACATTCTAATAGCCAAAGGCAAACCAGGACAAATTCTTCTACCAGACCCAAATGGAATAAGCTCAAAATGTTGTCCTTTAAAATCAATCTCACTATTGAAAAATCTCTCCGGCACAAAAACATTAGGATTCTCCCATTTACTTGGATCTCTGCCAATAACCCAAGCATTAACCAAAACTTGTGCATCTTTTGGAATAATGTAGTCACCAATTTCAACATCTGTTTCTGCTTTGCGAGGTAGTAATAACGGAACTGGTGGATGTACACGAAACGTCTCTTTTATAACTGCTTGCATGTATGGTAATTTGGCTATGTCTGTTTCTTCGACTGAAATACCTTTGCCAACAACTTGTTCGAGTTCATTTTGTACTTTTGACATGATTTCTGGATTGTGCATTAACTCTGCCATTGCCCATTCTAGTGTGTACGTGCTTGTGTCTGTTCCTGCAACAAATATGTTCTGGCACACCACAATTATTTAGTCAAAAAACTATACCATAGTGTTGTAGTGTTCAACAAATGTTGTTGTAGAAAACATACCAGCAACAAATGTTCAATCTCATCTTTATCCATCTCAATTTTCCCATCCTCCAAAGAAATATTAAGCAAAGCATCAAGCACATCATCATTTCCAATAGAACCACTACCTTCTCTCAACTTCAACCGTTCCCCAACAAATCTCCTAAAAATAGTCAAAACCTTTCTAACAGAAACAACAGAACGTCTTCTAATACCCTGCAAATCAAAAACCTTCAACATGGGAAAAAAATCCGACAAATTCGGCACTCCAACTTCCTTCAATATACTCACAACAATCTCCTTATACTCTCCAGCTTCCTCGGCCGAATGAACAAAATCGGCCGAGAAAAAAGTATTGGACAACAAATTAATGGTTGTCATAAAAGCAACTCTTCAATATCCACAGCTTCTTCGTTTTCGCTACACTTTTTAATATCATCTAACAAGTTCTGTAATTTCCTCCGCCTAAGCGCCTGGCTCGAATCCAAGGTCTTATTCGAAAACAAGTGGTTATTGCATATTTTTCTAAGGTCACGCCAGCGAGGCGAAACCCGCATAAAAGAGAGACTATATTGATCGTGGTTGAGGACGGAGAGTGCGTCAGGGACGGTTCGGTTTGATAGTAAGTTATCATGTGTTTGTAGAACTTCTTTTGCCATGTCTGCTGAGGATATAACTATGGTCGTTATTTGTCCTAGTTTCAGTGTCATTATTGGTCCATGGATGTTGGAAAGGTTTGCTAAGGAATGGTGTGGTTTGTTTCCTAGTTTTAGAAGGTTTCCTATTATGGGAAGTGGTGAAGGACCTGGTGGGAGTTTGGAGTGGTTTTTTTGGTTGGGTTTGGTAGTTGGAATGAGAAATTTGAGAAGGAGAAGGAAAGAGAATGTAAAAATGGCTAGGTAGGAGAGTGTGGAATATTGTAATAAGTCCATTTTTAAAAGATATCGGAACAAAATGAGAGAGAAGTATGTAGGAAAAAAAGTAATAACTTTGAACTTGTTGATACAAATGAGTGGAGTAAGTTTCACAAGGAGTTGGATATGTCTATTTATAATCAATTTGTGGAATTTCCGGCAATCCAATTGTCACAATTTGCATTCAGTTTGCCTGCACAAAGTAGCACAATTGAACCTCTTATATGATATAAGTTGTTATGTATATATATATATATATATATATATATATATATATATATATATATATATATATATATATATATATATATATATATATATATATATATATATATATATATATATATATATATATATATATATATTATATATATTATATATATATATATATATATATATATATATATATATATAATATATATATATATATATAATATATATATATATATATATATATATGTGTGTAACATGATAATTAATAAAAGTTATTAACACTAATATTTTTAAATTCTGAAATTATAAAAGAAAATACAATATTTATTTTGATCCCTTAACTATACATTTGGATTCAGATTTATCATTTAATTTTTTTTTTGTCAATTTAGTTCCTTAACTTTTAAAATGTTTCGTTTTAATCATTTTTATCTAATTAACGATGAATTTAACTACCAATTTTTAAAAATTTTAGTCTTTAATTAGATAAAAAGGACTAAAATAAAATATTTTGAAAGTTAAGGGATCAAATTGACAAGAAAAAAATTAATAGATCAATTTAAACTCAAAGATATAGTTAAGGGATCAAAATGAATATTTGACCTAAAAAAATTTATTAAACAAATTTTACTAAAAGTGAAATATTGTTATAATTTGATTAAAAATTATTATTATATTAAATTACATATGCATTACAATTAAAATAAATTGATTTGATTACAAAATAAAAAAATAAAAATTGAAGCTAAAATTGACGTTGATAGGTTATAGTAGGTGATTGTCGATTCCTCATGAATGAAGTACTCCTTGTCGATTACATCTTTGAGATCCTTGTTGGTTGCTAGCATTATGGACTTATTTAAAGGTCACATTAAACCTTCTCTCTTATCCTTCTTTCATTTTTCAGAAAAACAAAAGTTTATCTCTACTTTCCTCTCAACCCATTTACAGTATACACTCAAAATCAAGTTTTGAAGCTGCATTCTTGTATTTCTTACTATTTCTAACTCCTTCTATCAACTGCATTCAACATCAGAACACTCCACACCCTCAACAACCGCTACAAGAAAATTGTGTTTTAGCGTCGTCCAGAAGCCCTCGCTAGAAAAAAAAGCTGACGCTACTACACGTTAGGTGGAAGCAAAGCATAATGTCCTGTTGTCACTACATGTAACGACGACTTAGTGAATGCTAGTGAGACGTTATAATAATAAAACCGACGCTAAGATATTATAAATTTTTCGTTTAACGTTTATCCTTATCGACGCTAACGTTAACTTAGTGGCAGTTTAAAGGGCCATTTTATTTTTCTATTTTTTACATAGCGTCGGCTTATTTCAACGTTTATAGTGTCACTTAAATATATCTTCAATGTTTTAGCGAAGGTTTTGTGAGACACTTTTGCGTTGATTGCTTTCAGTTAGCGTTAGAGATGTTTACGATACGCAATTAAAGTCGTGCAATATAGTGTCGCTGTAAACTGACGCTAAAAGAATCTTTTTATTTTTATCAACAATGTAGTGTCGTTCTCATTTGACGCTATAAGCCTATGATGGTACGTTGCGCGTCGTATTTAGCTGCCGCTAGTGTTTTTTTTTTGTTTTTGAAAATTTATACCTATTTAAAACCATATTAATTCTACCTGAAATTCACCGAAACATGTTTTGTAATTTAAAACTATTCCTTAATATTATTATCACATAAAAACTCCAACACAAGATAACAAACTTGCGTAAATCCATAATATTATTACATTAATTAAGATGTCAAAGTTACATCAAAATATTGATATAATATCAAATTTGTGCTCATCCACAATGTTGCTACATAAAGATGAAACGATTTGGCCAACTGAAAAATTAAGGGAATGACAAAGTATGAAGCAAATTGTTTACATTTTTTTTTACTATTTTATATATTATATAATTATTTATAATAAGTTTTATAAAATTTATATAATTTTTATATATATGTTTTAAATATTACAATAATTATTTTGTATTAACTTTTATATTCTATTTATTTTTAAATAAATTTTATAACCTTGTTTGCTCATATATTTTTTATAGTTTTTCTAGTTTAATATTTATAATATATTTTAAATAATTTTGAGAAAAACAAATAAAATATTTTTTTTTATAAATAAATAAATGGTAGCGTTGGCCAAACATTCTCTATTAATAAAAAATATTTATTAATTAAAATTAACAAAAGGAGGCAAAAAAAATATAGGTGGAAAATAAAATGTTTCCCTCTAATATTAGCGTCGACTATGGTCATCGCTAATATATAAAAAAACTACCCAAATATACAATTAAAAAAAGAGGCAAACGGAATATGTGGTGGAAAATGACAATTTTATGCACCAATCTTAGCGTCGGCCTCAACTGACGCTAGGAGAAAAAATAAAATAGAATAAAATAAATACATATTTAGTGTCGGTTGGGGCTGGCGTTAATATAAATTATTTTAAAATAATAAAATAAAATAACTTAAAGTTGTTAGTGTCGGCTATCTGAGTAAGTTTGCAGCTAAAACGTGATTTTCTTGTAGTGAACACATTTAAGAGTAAGTTTCGCATTTAACTTATTTTAATTTTTGAATAATGTATTAGTTCAAATGTACTAGTTCTAATGTATTAGATAGCTCAAAAAGGTTAGTGTACAAGTTTGGAGACTCTGTTTATACGATTTGGATGAGTTTGATTGGGTTTCGATGAGTTAGGACAGTCGCAGAAACAATTTTGCCATTGTTGAAGTCGAAGCTTTTTTTTTTCAGATATGCATATCTGAACTTGTTTCTTCCTTTCTTTTTTTAATGTTTTTTTTAGAATGGCTGAAAACCAAAAAAGGTTGAGACTTGAGCGACTCACCTGTTCGCAAGCGTTTCTTGCGAACAATCTATAGCCTCTTACTTAAAGTTAATTGCAGGACCGGCGAGTCCTTGACTTTTGTGTTAAGTTTGATATGGGTTTTGGTACTTGAAATGGGTAAAATACGAACTGAAATAGAAACAAGTAAACAAAGAAAAATTTGCAAGGTAAAATGATAAACAAACGGAAAACTTGAAAATAACTTGCTTTGAATTAAAGGTGGACACATGCATACATTTCTCAGAAGTTACTATTTTCTCTCTTGACGCGGATACTTTGAGTTCTTTCTTACAATGTTACAAAATGCGACATTTCACATGTGTTAGGTCTGTGATTTTATGGTTAGCAAAAATTTTGGTAAAACAAGGTGTTGACAACAATTCTATCAAAACATGTTTCATTGGGAAAAACATGTATTGCAGCCTAATGTTAAACAAGCCGTCATAACATCTTAACCTACAAGTACAGTAGTGTATGTAGGTACTTACTTGATAGATGTTTTACCGATGTTGTAACATGTTGCAACAAAATATCATGACAGTATTGCTGGATATTTATCCTTGAAGATTTGATTGAAAAATATAAGATACTAGATGTTTCTAGTGTTTATAACAGGCACAGAAAATCAAAGATTTTTAGGAATAATTGCATATTTGATTTATTTCATAAAAAATATCTTTGAGAATTTTTAGGAAATATTTGAAAGATTTATTTTTGAAACATTTTTAAGCCTTTATGTGTCCAAGGTGCAGCATAATATATGATCGAAAGGCTACAGAGAATTATGAAAGGATGCAAGTTGCTCGAAAGAGGGGAAACTGGAGAGATACCAGAAGTGGCTTCATGTTCGACAAGCGAGGGATCCCTCGAAGGCCAAATAGTCCTTATCCCTGGGTGAATCTAAAGACAACATTCAAACCACCTGTTAATGCTCCAACTGACAGCTGGGTGAAGCCGGCGAAGAATGAGGGACAAGGGCAGGTGAAATGGAGGAGCTTCAAATTCGGAAGAGGTTCGTCAATTTCCAACAAGAAGGAATTTCAGGTGTCGAAGCAGAAAGCCTACCAGTCTGAAAAAACTATAAAGGTAAGAATTCAATGTCAAAGTCTTAATGGAGGAGACACTGGAGACTTAAGAAGGCTCAAAGGGAAATAGTTGAGAAAGATATGGGAGAATCAAGAACCAATCAACTCCCTCCTCAAATAAAAACGGAGGAGAAAAAGCTAGTGGGGAGAAAAAAAAATTCCCCAAGGAAGGAAAAAATCTATGAAAAAGGGAAACAAGGCCCAATAGAAGATAAAGATATGATAACTGACAACTTCGACTCAGAGGATGAATTATCTCTGGGTTTAAACTGCAATGTTGTCTTTTTACTCTCTCATGAGTACAACCAAGTGACTAAGGTCGAAGAAGATGAAATGGTTGATGAAGTCGACATGGCCATACATAGGACAATGTGTTATTATGTTATGAACAATGGTGCAATAGCAGAACAAAATGCATTCTTCGAACGCCTAGATTCATGTATGAAGAACCATCTCAAACCTTTATTCATTATGGGTAAGGTGGAGAATATGGTGATAAACAAGATCCTAGTTGATGGAAGAGAAACGGTAAATCTGATGCCACAATGCATGCTCCAAAAAATTGGGTTCTATCAAATTATGAAGGAAAAGTGGGTCACAATATAGGAGTGATCCAAGTAGATCTCACTGTGGGATCCATTACCAGACCCATCATATTCATGGTGATTGCTTTATGGTAAAATTACAATATATTGCTTGGTCGTGAGTAGATTCATGGCATTGGGGCAATTCCATCATCACTTCACCAAAGGATTTCCATTTGGAGATAAGATGGGATTTGTTGTACCCAAAATTTGCCCTCTCATTTTCAAGACACCTCCTCATGCTCCTAGGGTTTTCAATTGCTC